GATCTCCGATTTCCAAGTCATCCAATATTCCGTGCATTTCCAAATATCGTGACTTTCTGGTGTCGGTCAAGGAGAGCTAGAGAATATAAGAGTGACAACCCAATCCAACCTACGTCCGATTCCAGACTTTAACAGTATATACAAGCTGACACTCTTGATTTCTACAATGTCTTCCGACACCCAAATCCAAACACCCAATCTTGATGACACCAACAGATCTACTGACAATATCATCGACCCATCAAACATTCACGAGTATTCCAGCTACTTTGACAAATGCCTCATAGACGAAGACTTCAAACCCAAGCAAATTCTGAATGATATCAGCAACGTGGCCTCAAATCTTCTTTCCAATGACTCACAACAAATGGCAACAACTTCTGACCAAATCCTGATTTTGCTGACACCAAAACTTTCCAACATCCTCGGACAAGATGGCAAACTACCACAGGAGAAACAATGACATATCAACCAAAAGTTATGCCTCTACTGTGGAAAACCTGGTCATAAAGTAAATATTTGCCTGAAGTCATCATCCTTCGCCAGGAAAGCAAAATCCCGAGCTACAATTGTCACACTAAGTGATTCCGACATCAAGGACCCCTTAGAGGCCCCTCCGAATTCCCAAAACTGACAGCTCAAGCATCCTCGAGCACGATTCCGCATTCACATCTTCATTCGTGCCTTACCGAGATCACCACAGACACTTTCCAAAAACACCCTCCCTACCTTCCAACAATCCTGCCAAACCCTGTACAATCATCTCCGACCTCACCTTCAATCCCGAAATCCCCAAACATCATTTCTTCTGAATGTTTTTTGGCCGATCATTATGTCCAAACACCACCCTTTGGATTCCCGACTTCCGCTGGTCTCTGTTTTCTGTCACCAATGACATCTTATGTCACACCATCCAGTAGGCTATTCATGCCAATCCCGTTTTCCATCGAGCAAAAAATCCCAGTCGTTATTACATTGCATATGATGCCACTTGTTTCTAATTGTTTCAAGTGCTGGGAACACCACTAACCCACCCACTACAATCCGTTGATTGACAGGGCATTGGGTAATACCTAGTTCTGCACTTCTCAACAAGAAGATTCAATTCTATGACATGTCTCCTGGAAACCTGCAAATATTGCGTTGTCCGAATCTCTGAAAATCCTGCTTTGCTGCAACATTCTCCAACTTGCCATAACATCCAACGTCAATGCTTGATGAATCCTCAACTCGCAATACAACAATATGGAAACCTTGGCACCTTTCCAATAGGAATATCCATTACATCGATTCTTCCGATTCCCGACAAGCAATCATCAATATTCTGATGCACCCTGACAAGATTACCTCATCAGAGGGAGAGAATCTCACTATGGGAAAATCATTTTCCTTACATCTAGTTAAGCCAGACCCACCTCGAGAACACATTAACGAGGCTCTAGCTATAGGATTTCATCTGACACCTTCCACACAGTATGTCTGTACTTCCTCGAGAACATGCCAGGACAATTTCCGAATCTCCAAACTACGAATCTCCTCTAAAGACATCCTTCCGTCTCCCGAGATTCAGTTTCCCAACCTCTGACTTCCAGACTTTTCCAAATCTGACTCCTCAAGATGCAACTTACTCCGATTCCAAGTCTAGTCCAATACCAATTCCGTGTTATGGGATGATAACCGGCAAACCACCTTCGGAATCCTCAACGATTTTCCTCAAATGCCATTAGGATGATGTCCATCCCTTTCAACAATATTCCAGGACAAATATCAAGCACCTTACCGATATTTCAGACAAAAACCCTCAAATTCTACCAAACATTGGTCCACCATAAGCGCCGACAGTCAAGCGGCACTGTGTGCCACTGACACTCACACACCCAAGCCAGGCCATTACCTCATGGATGCACTCATCACCTCTCTAAGCTCCACCCTACGCCGAAGCAACGGCCTTGACCTCTCCCTCCACTGGATCCCTGGTCACAAAGGAGTGATAGGTAACAAGACAGTGGACTGCCTAGCCAATCAAGCCACTAAGGGCTCCTCCAGCCAACCCTCCCTCTTACCTCCGCTCCTATGCCACCCACTCCTCCATAGTGCTGCTGCAATACAACAACAAGCTCAAGCTGACCGCATCAACCCTCTTCAAGTCCTCACCTCGCTTCACAAAGATGACCTCAATAGACCCTTCAACCCCATCATCCAAGTTCCGTAAACTCACATCTACCTTACCTAGGGCCCAAGCCAGTCTCATAATGCAACTCCAAACTGGTCACATCCCACTCAACAAGTACCTGGCCACTGTTGGCAAGATTGCTTCTCCCACATGCCCCGCTTGCCACCAACATGACAAATCTGTACATCACCATTTATTCCAATGCCCTAAGTATGCACATCAATGCCATCTTATGTCCTCCACCCTACATAGAAATGCTGTAACAATATCTACATTACTCTCTGACACCAACACCCTCCCTACACTCTTCACGTACATAGATCAAACCAGCCATTTCCACCCCACCCCAAATTGCCATCCCCCCAATGACCCACCATAGATTACCTGTAACCCCCCTCTACACCTCCCCTGCGCCCCCTACTGTTCACACCTTTCCTTACCTCTATATCCTTAACCCTCTGAAACATATGCCTGCTAACTAGTTTCAACCCCCAAACACAGATCCAACCCTGCGCATCCTGCCACCCCGATCCTCCTCCTCCCTGTGCCATGCTCCCATCTGCCCTCTGCCCGATCACCTGCCACTGCCCTGCACTCCATATCGCACGATAATGCCACACATGACAGACTACCTGATCCACTTGACCACCTCTGTCATCATCTCTACCACAGTCTTTTTCATACCTAGCACCATATAGCCCCCCTCCACTCACTATCTATTGCCTATGTATACATCAACCTATCCCCTCCCACCCCTAACCTATCTAATTTTCACAGGAATTCTTCTTTCAGGGTGAGCGTCTGCATGTGGACCCCCCAGCCCAATGGGCAATTGTTTTTACTGTTGCGTGTGCATTCAAACTGATAGTCACAATTCTGTATGTATTATCTTACATGGGGCTCTGCCCCAATGGATATAAATGGAGATAATAATAATAAAAATGGCGACCAACCACCACCACCACCACCACCATGCCGCCACCACCATCATCGACAGCCCCACACCACCACCATCCCTATAACCAACACCATGCCACCGCCGTCATCGATGGCCCCACCACACCATTGTTGATGGCCCCACACCACCACCACCAACACCAACACCACGCCACCGCCATCATCAACAGCTCCACCACACCACCACCACCACCACCACCACCGCCACTGTCATCGACAGCCCCACACCACCACCACCATCCTCACCCCCCCCCCCACCATTGTTGCCAGTGCACACCCCCACCCTTGCCCCCCAACCCCATCACACCAGCCCTTGCGGGCAGGGATGGGCATGCACATCACCACCACCACCATCCTCACTGCCCCTACACCCACTGCCACCCTCACCAGCAGATGTGCATGTGCACCCACATGCACCCATACACACATCCCTGCCACCTTCGTTGCACCCACACATGTATTTAGTCACACCCACATGTATTTAGTATTCAGAGTAGCTAAATAAAATTTGTATTATTATTGATGTTTGAACTGGTTCAGATCTGGCTCAGAGCCAGTTCAGAACTGAGCTGAACTGATCGTGAACTGAACTGTGAGCTGGTAATCAGCAAATCATCAGTTCAGTTCATGAACTGAACTGAACAGAAATGAACTGTGTCCATCACTAGTTGCACCCTCTTGGATTTCTAGTGCCCTGGTATTTCAGATTTTCAACCAGACAGAATTATTGGGGTACCAATCATCAGGTCTGTATAGAAGAAGATCAGTGACAAATGAGTGAGTTGAGACTTATCGGGTGAGCAGAAGAATTTGAATATTTTGGAGTTCAGAATAGTCAATGCAGAAAGGGATAAGGGTGACGATAAATGAATATCGAGTGAGGTTTGGCTTTCTGGAAAAGCGAGTATAGTTAAAGAGTGGATATTTTGGAGAATCAGAAAGATGTCAGGAATCAGAATATTTGGGATATTGATATAATGATCAATTGCATAAGGATATATAAGCTTGAACAATATACGAAGTAAAATATAGAGGAGGTACTAATATATAGACTTTAATACAGATAGAGAATCAGTATAGGTTTGTAAGTCAATATACAAGCTAAGGGAAAGGCTTGAGTAAGGAAAAGTGTATTTAAAGGAATATGCGGGATTCCAAAATCGGAAATGAAAGAGATAAGAGTGCATGATATAGAGTTCTGGAATCAGAGCAAATATGGAAATCAAGATAGAATGTATGGGGATAAGATCGAGATGGATGGTGACTAAGAATGATGAAATAGGGGTATATCAGAAATAAATGGAAAAGGGCTTACCAGGATGCAGAAACATCAGAATAATGGAAATTGGATCTGGGATCTAACAGGCACTCAACATTCCTTATGTGGACCATGTGCACACATGTTTGCGCCAGCATTGGTTACATGGACTCTCAAGGACTCCAATGTATTCAAACTACAAATACAAACCCCTAAAACATGAATGGACACTTCATAATTTCATAGACACCTTTACCCATGCAGCCTTGGTGAAATTTGTGCCATCATCTGCCTTGGTCTTATGATCAACAAGCAATATGACAAGAGTCTGTTTGTTCTCAAGAGTTCAATCAGCTTTGAGTTTCCTGGTATATGCATCAGATATAGAGGAGGTGTTGGTACAAACTTGGACCCTAGGGATAGGCTTGAGGACCATTTTTAAAAAGCACCATAGTTACTACTGAGAATGGATATGAGATGCAACAAGCTCATTGAGACTCAGCAAATGACACAAGGCCACCAACATAAGGAAAAGCCAACTTGAGCTGTGCCTTATCAGGGCAACTCTGAATTTGGTACATGCTCAAAACAAATGTAAAATATTAAATTTAATGGCCAAAGTGGGGGTCGAACCCAAGACCTTCGAGTTACAAGAAATATATTAGCTCGACGCTCTAACCAACTGAGCTATTCGGCCGTTCATTATTGTTCTAATACTTATCTCTCTCTCTGGGATTAATGTTCCGACGCCAAGCTACTTTTTTGCCTTATCATACAATAATCATACAAATGCCACCATATGTCGCATCAACGCCAATAGTCTCTTGATCGCATCATGTTATTTCTCCATTCGCTACTTCTTCTAGTTGCATTTGATTTTTCACGTCCTGCAGCGTTATTTCATCCACTCGTTCTCGTTTTTCCGTTTCTACCATGAATTTTTCCTCTTGGAGTATCATTGTTTCCTTCTGTTCTGTCTGTGGTGGTTGCGGTTGCGTTGCTAGCGCTGACTCCTGGACGAAAGCACCTTGTTCCCGTAGACGCGCGTAGACATTATCTTGAACCTGAAACAGGTCGTAACAGTCATCAGGAAGCAGACGTGTACGATCGTGTATCATCTACCTCAAGATTCTGCCCTAGACATACGGCTTTTACGATTTCACCTTCGCACCGTTCATGCACTGACTGGCGTAGTGAGCGCCTAAGGAAAGAAGACACGACGTTCAAAGGCCACGCGGGAGGGACTAAAGATAACACCTAGGTGCGAATAAAACCATACGAGGTGAGTCCTGAGACTCAAAGTAAACGTGAACCAAAATACGCACGTCAAGAACGTCAAGGTTGCCTCCTTGCGAGTTGAGCAGACGCGCTGTGTGGCCTTCGGTTGTTTCGCTATTTTTGCGACGTTCAGTGGCCAACGCGATCAGTCTGACAAGCAACGCACCCGCCGCTCATGTACACCTCAAGTAACACCTTCAAAAGCCGACTCCTTGTCTCCTCCAGATCGTCGCTGCTTGTAATAGTGACTTTCTTACCGCCTCTGCGGTTCGACCGATCTACGACAAGCGCAGCCCACGTCCGCAAGTCCAGCCGCTCACCTAGAAATTGGGCTACTTTAGGAGAAATTGCGCACCCTCCGAGGCCACAATATGCGTCCGCTGAAGCCGTATCTCGGAGGGTGTGCACGAGGGCTTTGAGGGCTTCAACGTGCTTTCCAAGCTAGGAAAAGCTGAGTTAGAAGCGGAATCGAGGTCGTGACTAAAGTAGATACCTTCCCATCCGTGATTGCTATTTCAAAGCCCAAGACTTCTTCCCATGGTGACAGTCGATCTCTCACCGTGTGGACATCATATAATGTGGAGCCTTGCAGAAAAAGCGCGAGGCAGCAGCGCGTGCGAACAAATTCGTACATAGGGGAAGATGCTTCGATATTGGTGACTAAGTGAGTCAAGAAAGGAATGGATGTGTTCTGTATAGAATATTCGAAAGCTGTAAATTACGGTGAGCGTCATGTGTCGACTAATATGTATATAAAGGTATACCTGCGTCTTTAAAAAACTCAAGCACCTCGCCAGATTGCAAGGCAGACATGAAGCGATTAAGGCACATCAGGGCCAATCGAGTGTGTAAATCGGAATCCTTGGAATTTCCGTCAAGCGAGTGGAATAAATTGCCAGATCTCTAATACCTTGCTATGCTTCTGAAGCACAATATACTCCAAGAATTGCCGCCCAGCGTCAGCATTAACCGCTTCAATCTGAGTTAGCAACATGCTATCATCAGCTTTTGTGGATCGTTTGCTGTCCGTCATCAGAAACTTTAGGTGGAAAAAGTCAATATGTTATATCCTCTGGGAAAATGAATGGATTCACACCTTAAGGCCAGTTGCCGTATCCTGTTTGACAAGCCATAGCCCCCACCGCTGTACGAGTGTACGATCGCGTGATTCGTCGAGAAGGGCAGTCATTTTGCCAAGGGGGTCTTGAATGTCCTCGTCGGTCCATACGCCTTCAACTAGGCTATCCATAACTCATATTCAGTCGCTATGTCCCCACGAAGATCAGGGCACGCACCGAGATAATATCTCGAGTAACTTGTCCTTATTATTCGCTTTTTGATGAAGGTTGAAAAGCGCATTGTATTGACCGGTCCGGATTAGTGTCTCTTCGACTTCTTCAATAATAATATCTTCCGAGGATTCAAGCAGAGCATATAGCTCTTGGGTGTCTTCGCTTTCAGCAAGCAGTTTCACAAGTACTGTGTCAATAACCTAATAGTGTGTGAGCTGAACAATCAGCGAACTTCATATAGTCTTACTTGGCTGATCTCTTTAACCGGGGATTCACCACTGTATAGAACTTTGTTTTTCCATTTTCGTAGGTATTCCCTTAGCATATCGCGCGCAGACACCATAAGCAGCTTTCGCAACTCAGAAGTAGGGGGTGCGGAGCGTGTATTGGGCTGCAGGTGGGGAGAGTAGTTTTTAACTAGGTTCGTCACGACTGCGAGTCAGTTCCCGCAACCAAAAGAGGGAGGGGGAGCGCAACACAGGAGTGGTTAGGGGGACACTGTGGGTTGCGACGGGGAATGAAGGGGGGAAGAGGGGACTTACTGATGGTATCCACGCTTCCGAGAGAGCGCATTTGTGGCTCGAGACCAGCGAACACAGGGAGGGAGACGGACGAAGACGAGAGGAGCGTTCCGCGAAGAGCAGGGAAGAGTCGAACAAGTAGCCGCGGGTCGACATTGCCTCTGAACAGGTTATTACCTGCATCTTCAAAAATAGTCTCCGATAGGCATTTGTACCCCACCCGTTGATAGATGTAGTAGATCTCTTGGTTCTGTATTGTTTAGATTAACATTTTGTGATGAATTGTTCGAAAACTAAATACCTGCGCCTCCCATTGATTTTCGCCAGAGGACTGAGAAAGTCTTTTCATCTGTTCAATCTTCTTTTGATGTTCTTTTGCCAAATTTGTAGCTTCCTTAAGTTTATGAGCTTCTAGCAGCGCGTCAGCTTGTTGGGTCAGCGTAAGCGTGGCCAGCGCATAAACCGCGTCAGTGCCGACGGCAAGGATAACTGCTTTCGGCTGTCTAGTCCGGTTGTCTTTTGTCGATGAGGAGCGAAGGCTATCGTGTCGCCGTGGCAATGAGGTCTGGCGATTTGGGGGAGCGTCCCGGATGGCACTCTCTTCTATTGCGCTCGTATTGGGCGCATCTGGTTCAAAAGGGGAGAAATCTACGACATCGAGTTTGTGCTTCTGGTCCCCAGACGGAATAACATAGCCTTGTGAGCTCTTTACTAGCGCTATTGGAGAAAATGAACCAGACGACAGTATAATTTGGCAAATTGATTGGGATTCGAGGCTGTGCACCTCTATTGTCCCATTGGGAAGCATAGACGTGACATAAGGATATTCGCAACCTTGGAGTTAGATGAATATGCATACTAATTGAATAACAAGTATGGCCAACATACAAAGCGCAACGGGGTGCATTCCCCATTCCAAAGTTCCTCGAACTGGATCGCCCGTGCCCATAATGAATACACCAAGTGTGGTGGTTCCGGTCCACGATAGCAATAAAAACTCATCCTCACTAATAACAGTGATCGACGGCTTCACCACAAGAGAATCCGCTGCCTGAGAAAGGGGAAGAAGGGGTATCATATTCGCCGTGTCAAGGTCGATGACATTATAATTCTCTTCATCTGCAACACACAGGTGTTTATTTGAAAGTCGTGCAAGAGTAGCACCATTAGGGAGCGGTATTTCCTTGAAAATGAAGCGGTGAGATTTGGTAAAAACGAAGACGACTACATACCTTCCTAAATCCGAGGCGGATTCCAAGGTTATATACACTTATAGAGCTTCTCTTTATAACGCAAACATTGACGCTCTCCGGCTGGTGAGAACGGCGTTCGGAGGATTTCCGTTGTTGGGCGTCATCAAGGGCAAATGTGACTACATTGCGAATGGGTTTAATATCTTCCACCGGCTCCAGATTGGGAAGTGTAAAAAAGTGGATCAGGTGATCTAGGAGGGCACATAGCGCAAGTAAGATAAAAAAGATAGAAGAGCGCAACGGTATCACTTACTGCACAAAACCAACACTTTCTCGATACTCGGCGCAAGAACTATCTGCTCAATTGGATGGCCTGACGATAGCGCTTGGTGGGTGAGCAGTTGGTAAGACTCTGCCTTGAGAAACAATTTATATCACCACAAGGGGAACAAAAAAAAACCTCACTTCAGAGTCCAACGAGTCAACGAAGGCATATCTCAATAAAGCTCCGTCTGAACAGCCCACGTAGATTTCGGTCCCTTGACAAAGTTGTCACACAACTTATCACATACAGACAGACAGACCGCACTCACCAAGAGCCTGTGCACAGCGCACCTCTACAGTGGCACGGCCTGTCCGAGAGGACGGTCTGTCTATTTATTGTTTCAGCTTGTCTGTGGCCCTATATGTCGTTCGAGTAATGCTCACCAGGTGTGCCACCCAAAAGCTCCTTGACATTAGAGAAGAGATGTTGTAAACGATATGGTGGGACATCAAGCAACGTCGGGATTGTCGTCATTAGCTGAGAAGGCCAAGACTGGCGGCCTCACTAGGCTCAAAAAACACTTACTAATGTCTTATGTAATCTTTCATCATGTGATTGACGCGTAATCTCTGTCGCGAGTCGCGACTAGTAACTACGGCATCTGCGAGCAAACATAATCTCTAGACAAGTATGCCCCGCCCAATCGGCAAGGGCCATATCAATGTACAGCAAACGCACTTAGCCATGGTATCCCGCGAACACATTGACGCTACGGATACAAAAATGCCATATCAATTCACAACGAATACACCCACCCAGACATCCATACACTGCACCCGTTTCCCTCGGGCCAATACTGCACTTTTGCTTGAAATTACGGAGTCTCGAAGAGCATGCAGAACACACCGCTCTCGATCTGATGCAACCGCCTTGTCGATGTTATCCAAAAAGTGTGGTGAAACTACCTCAGACACTTCCCATCGTGCATCTTGGAGCTCTGGCGCCGGAATAATCAATCTTTCCTTTTCAACTGTCAATCCGCATTTAGCTCCTGCTGTTTTAATCGCTTCCGGGGACAAAAGAGTTCTAATGTTCCCTTGGCCGGGCTGACGCCAGTGAAGATCTGCCTTTGCAAAGGCAGCTAGAAT